TTTTTTTTTTTTTTAAGTAAAATTGGAACTTGAACATTTTCTTAAAATTTAATTTGAAGTTCAATTTTTTTTTAGAAAGTTAAGACATTTTCTATTATCTACCACGCCCTTGTTACACAGTATGTGCGTGTTTGGTCGAACACGCAGGCCCTTATTAGAGTTTGTGCGTGTTGGGAGGGGAAGGAGAGAGAATCAAGTATTAATCGAGAATCAAGCAATCGTAGAGAGTACGAGCCACAAGAATCAAATGAAACGTAGAGAGAGAGAGTCGACCACAATGAAATGAAACGTAAAGAGGACGACGACAAAGTCCGCTATCCTATGTGTAGAGAGAGAATGAACGTCGCTCATCGTCCACAGTGTAGAGAGAGAGGAAGATGACACTGCTTGTCCATGCTTTAGAGAGAGAAAACATCTCCAATTCCTGATGAAGAGAAAGAGAGAGAGAAAGAGAGGGGGTGCCACGATGCTCAATCCATCGACATGTGGAAACTTGGGGACTAAGATTTGTTTCTCTCTCTACAACCAACGTGGCCCTGAAGGAAACACTTATCTATAACCCAACCGTAGCTTCTCTCTCACTCTTAAACCCTTTCTCACTCCAAAACTCATGTCCCCTTCTCCTAAAGCTTTTCTTTGTTTCTCACTCGTAAGACCCGTGCTTTCCAACAATTCTTCGAGCTCTCTCTCACTCTAAAACCTCAAATACTCTACAACCCATGCGCTCCAACAATTAATTCTTCGAAGACTTGTTTCTCTCTCTAAAACCCATATCCCCTATCCATTCTCCAACCTTTTTACTTGTCAATACCCGAGTAGCTCTTTCTCAGTTTTAAAGCCCAATCTCTTGATTCTTTGTGTTAAATATAGCTTTGCCAGTCTTCTTTAACCAACAGTTTCTCTCTCTAAAACCTCATATATTTTTTGGTTCTATGGTGGCCATGGAGGAAGATTCCTGCAAACCAAACCTGGTTTTGAACTTGGGGTCAGGATTGTACGAGTTGCAGAGGAGAGAGGGCAGAGGAAAAGAAGAGGAGGTTTTGAGCAGCACAAGGAAGAAGCTGAGGCTCTCCAAGGAACAAACTGGACTTCTCGAACACAGTTTCATGTCCCAAAGTACCCTTAATCCGGTGTGTTTACATCCCCTCTCACTCTCTTCTCTCTCTCTCTCTCTCTCTCTCTCTCT